ATCCGGGGGGGGGGGGGGGGGGAAGTGCAACGTTTTTGGACGTTGCTCTTCTCTCAAGTACCGCTCCCTGACGCTTCTTTCATAACAAACCAAAAACACGAAACAAAGGAACACACACACACACACACACACACACACACACAGATGGCCTCCAGAATTATTTCGTGTGTTCACCCACACTCTGAGACTGAAGTATTTTCATTGGGCAGCCGGATAGCGCGATGCCAATAAAAAAGGCGCACACACAACACACACATAGAAGAACGCTCCCACCAGGAAAGGGCAGGATATCGGTGGCTCACCGGCCCGGGGATTGGGGTCTTCTGCGGCCCACCGCACGTGCAGCACGGCTCCATCGTCTCCGCCGTCGACGCCGCTGCCGCTGCCGCTGCCGGAGGAGGCTGACGAGGGCGGTCGGCTTGGTCCGGTGCTTTTTTCTCTCCGTCTCTCGCCGGCGGCTGCCACGACGGTGTTGCATCGACGAACGGAGAGGGGTGGGCGGGGGCGTCTTGTATTTTTGCTTGTCTCGGGGAAAACATTTAACAGTTGACCGTGCGTCCCTTTCGAGAGGGAGGGTGTACTCACATGCCGTAGTCATTAGACTATGGGAACGGGGGGGGGATTAAACTTGACCATGCCTTCCCTTTCCTCAGGGGTACTCATGCAAAAGCATGCCGTCCTCGCTAGACCAAAATGGAGCGGGGGGTATCAATTGTTAATCGCTGTCAGGTACCCCATGGGACCAAACACGAACTAGAAGCCAAGTGATGACTTGCGCCTACCAACACCGGACCTGTTGGCGAAAACGGCAGAAGCAAACGGGGCGGCGGGCGGATTCAACCCATAAAAAACAACCAGCCCACAATGTGGTTTGCGCCTGGGCCTTCGCTTCCTTCTCTTGGCGAGGGCCTCGTTCCAGTTCTGCAGCGACATGGAAATTTCTTTATCAAGCGCTCCTGGTAGGACACGACATGTGTCCCTAACAAGCCGAGCGAGAGAGGCGAAGACCTCACTGGCCTTCCCAGCATGGGACGCAGACTGGAATCCCCGGCGATATCCATCTACAACTAATAGCAGGCCGAGACTTCTTGTTCTTCACAGCAGTCACTGCGCGGTAGCTCCAGCAGTAGCTGTGGCCGTGACAAGTTGCGGCTCGTGACACCACAAAAATCGTAGCCTACCTCTGTTGGATGCGAGTTTCTCAGCGGTGAGGAGAGACTGGTTCGACATCGCTTCCTTGGCGAACTCGGCGCTCGCTCTGTGGGCGTACTGGACGAAGGCGCAAGACTGTGCGCGGTCGGACACGCGTGTAGTTTGTTGCGCGGGGGCGGCATGGCAAGACGGCATGAACGCAACAAAGGGAGCGGGGCAGGTTTTGGCGGGTGTTGGGTGTGTGCTCATGGAAAAGAATGTCGTCGTCGTTTAGGCCATTGAGATCGCATCCAGGGGACGGAGCGACGATTCCCCCACTTTCGCCAGCCCAGGCTACGGTTTACAAGAGGGAGAATGGAAGACTAGAGGCTTGCAGCGAAAGAAGCACAAGCCCTAAATCAATGGTTCGCACCGTCCGGTTTCACAACAAGCGCGCGCACATGCACAGAGTTGCGTTTCGCCCCCATTCCCCACCGACCCGAACGCCAAAAACACACGATGTCAAGCTAAGCTAAGTTTCGCAGCGGTAGAGACGGGCGATTTCGTCCGGGTATCCACCTTCCTCCCCCACAACAAACGATGACAGAGAAAAAAAAAATCAAGCAACACCGCAGGGCGACATATATTTGCAGCCGTCCAACACAACACAATAAGCATACTCTGTTATGTGTACTCAGCACTAGATACCGATCTACAGAGATCTAGGGGGTTTCGTGTATCACGTGTTTCTGGAAGGGCAGACCCTGTTCTGGGGTGCAGGAATTGCTTGCTCTGCTATTCACTCGTAAACTCGGAAATTGCCAAGGTCTTGAGTCAACCTTTTCTCCACAGCCTCTGACGTTAAGCACCAGCTACCCAAGCCGATGTCGGTATTGGTGTGGACCTACGGGTGAGCGGAGTCGTCAATTTTGGAGCTTCCGGCTGCACGCTATTAAAGTGTTGCTGTGTTCGTCACATCTTGGAGCTCACGGCTGGTTGTGTGTGAGTGTTTGGTGTTCTGTGGAGATGGGACAAAGAAGAAACTGACGAGATGGCTGAACTTAGAGCCAAGCTAACCCGGTCCGACAAGGAGCTGGAGAAAGCGCAGACGCTGGGCGATGTGGATCGAGAAGAAAAAGAGCGAGAAGAAAGGGAGCGAGAGCGAGAGCGAGAAGGATTAGAGCGGGAGCGACACCGAGCTGAAAAGGCGGAGGAACTGGTTCTGCTTCTCGCTCTCGCTCCCTTCCTTCTCACTCTGTTTCTTCTCGATTCACACCGCCCGGCGTCTGCGCCTTCTCCAGCTCCTTGGCAGACCGGGGTAGTTTGGCTCTATGTTCAGCCATCTCATCAGATTCTTCTTTGTCCCATCTCCACAGAACACCAAACACACACACACACAACCAGCCGTGAGCTCCAAGATGTGACTTCGAGAAACACCGTTGTTACTGTGTTTTCGGCCTGAGGACCGCTGATTTATTTTCGTTCTGTTTTCCGTAGTGAAGTCACAAGACAGCGTTCTTGATATGCTTTCGGCATGCGGGCCGCTATAGTTGTCTTTCGGTGTGTTTTCGGTGCTCAATAAACACCGTTCTTGATATTATTTCGGCCTGCGGACCGCACTACTTGTTTCTGTGGTGTTTTCGGAGGGTACGAAACACCGTTCTTGACTATGTTCAGTCGGCGGCGGGCGTTATCTTTGTGTTGTTTGATTCTTTATTTCTCTCGTGCAACGTAAATACATGTACGAGGAGCGTTCTTGCGTGCTGATGTCTAGAATAATGGGGGGGGGGAGTGTTGTGCCATGATCCCTTGTAGCAGCACGAGAAGATTTCGTGTCTTGCATACGTTTAGGAATAACAACGACTCCGGTTACCGGACAGGGCCCGTGGGCCATGGGTGCAAGCCCCTTGGTTTTCTATGGGGCTTTTGGGTTCCCCGTGATTCACAACACGAGGGATTATTTGAATTCAGCTAAAAACAAATGAGGGTATTTATCGTTTCCATTGACTGTGTATTGGTATGCATGGTGAATGCAACTGATGTTGAGATATTTCTTCGCGTGTTACCTGGCGGAGTGATGTTCCACCCAATTATATGATTGTATTTCCTGGGGAAGCCACAGCAGGGGGCTATTGGATATATTTGCCTGCATTGAGTACACCAAGAGCCATGGCTACTGTTGAAGATCTCATTCGTAGAGGCTGGTTTTTCACTTTATACTATTTATTCTGGAGGAAGGATTTGACATGTATTGATGAGCCATGGTTGGAGCCTACGTGCTTCCCGAATCCTTATGTCTCTTGGCCAATTAGTTGAAAACTGGTTTTGTTTTGAGGATTTTTGTTCAAGTGACAGATATGTTTCTGCAGGGCAGTGTTGGCCACACCACTCCACAGGCACGTTGACGTCATGGAGAAATATTCTGAGGGTGATTCTTGTGTTTTGGTAACTTGAGACGCACTGAAAAGCGGTCACGATGGTGATGGCAGTCAGGAGTACAACCGTCTTTGAGGGGGTGGGTTATTTACTGACACTTACATGGAAAAAATAAAATGGTTTGATATTTGAATATTCAACGCGTTTCGGATGATGGAGTTCTATTGGGAAATCAATGATGGCGGAAGAAACGTGATCTTGGGAGATTGGTTGCGAATTGGCAGGACGGATACTCTAGATTCGAGATTTGAGCCTGTTGCGGCCGAGTTGTGTAATAAGAGGAAAACATTTGTAGATCATATCCAGTACCGACTGGGGCGGCTGTTGGGTGTACTTAGCACCAGATACGGATCTACGGAGATCTTTTTGTGTATCATGTGTTTCAGGAAGAGCAGACCGCCTTCTGGTGTGCAGGGCTTGCTTGCCCTTGCTGTTCACTCGCTAAACTCGGAAATTATCAAGGTCTTGAGTCAACCTTTTCTCCACAACCTCTGACGCTAAGCACCCGCTACCCAACATACCCGCCTTGTTCTGTTCGTCTGGGCGTCTCCCTCCCTCCCACTATACCACAAAAAAAACAAAACGACAACACAAAAAACAAGCAGCACCGCAAGACGAAAGTTGCAACGATCCAACACAGGCATGACCCGCCTTGATATTTTCGCCCGGGTGCCCCCTTCCTCCCCCACAACAAAAAACCACAAAGACAAAGCAGCAGCACGCTATTTGCAGCCGTCCAGCATGAGCACACTCGCCTTGCTCTTCACCAGCCGCACGGAGCTGATGCGCCCCCACGGGCCGAAGTTTCGGCGCACCCTCTCCCTCGCCGACGCCTCGTCGAACACGGGGACCCCGCCCACCCACAGGGTTCGGTTCTCCTTCAAGAAGCACCCCGCACCGTCGCGGTCGTCGTCTTCCACCCCTGGCAGCAGCAGCAGCAGCAGCAGCAGCAGCAGAAGCAGAAGCAGAAGCAGCAAGCAAGTAAAGCAAGCAAGCAAGCAAGCAAGCAAGCAAGCAAGCAAGCAAGCAAGCAAGCAAGCAAGCACGCGAGCAAGCCCCCAACTAGCGGTTAGCGACAATCTTGACGGCCTGGGAAGCAGCAGCAAACAAGCAAACCCCCACCCAAGGGTCAACGACAGTCTTGACGGCCTGGTCTTAACAGCTCAAATGTGTGTGCGTGTTTGTGGCCCTTCCTCCCCCCGCAAGAAAATTCCGCAAGAAGATTCTGCTCGACCGGAAGGCCAAGGCCACACGTCCCTGAAGGTACCGATCGCCCCCCCCTGCGCTCTAGTGGGCGTGCAGCCTGGTCAACTTTTTCGTGGCCGTCACTCGCGAGTTCGAGTCTCAGGGTAGGTGTGTGCTTTCCTTGAAAAAACGATAGCGTTGTGTTGGTGAATACTTCTTCGTATTCCCTTGGCATGAGGGTTGGACAACTATTCCCACGGAAAGGAAGGGAGGCGTGCCACGGAGAGAGTTCTCTTCCTCTCGCCGCTGGATTCGAGCTCTTCAGTCTTTGTAGAGATACCAGACGGTAGTACAAAAAGCAAAAAAGGATGAGAATAATACTGCCTTGAGCGGCGGGGGATAAAATCCGGATGATTTCGGCAACAACAACAACACCAACGACAAAACCAGCAGCAGCAGCACCACCACCAACAACAACAACAACACTAACACACATCAACAACAACAACACTAACACACACCAACAACATAAACAACACCAACAACAACAACTTCAACAACAACAACAACAACACTAACACACACCAACAACAACAACAACAACAACACCAACAACACCAACAACACCAACAACAACAACAACAACCAAAAGAACGCACCCGATCGCTCTCGTCCGAAACAGTCGTGCATGTTGTCCTCGCGGGCGTCATCCTCCGGTGTAGGGACCAAGTGGAGCTTGTGGCAGCTGTAGCCTGTGGGAAGCGAGAAGGTGTTGGTAAGGTGTGGGTGGGCTTCTCGCAGTAGGGGGGGGGGTACTCATGTTTTTGCATGCCTTAGTTGTAAGACAATTGACCGCGCGTCCTCTCGAGAGGACAGAGCATTGTTCCTTCAGACCCGATCACCGATGGCCAAGCGTTCCTTCAAACCTTCGCCAACGGTGACTCAAAAATGCTTTCCCCCAGCCTATTTATCTTATTGGGGGGGGGGGCTGGTTGGATAAGTGCGATACCCAGCAATTTACATGTATCGTGTTTCGTGTCGTGCATAATACGTGCTCGGTGTGTATCTGCTTCACATCCAAGCTTTCAAGCGACCTGGGTCAAACATACCTGTACCTTGAGAAGAGGTTTGCTCCATCAGCTCCCAAATGTAGCACACCCCCACGACAATGATGTTGCTACATACGCCCGTTTGCCTACCACCCATCCCAGTTGATCTCCCCCTCGTTCTCCCCCTCTACCAACGTATGCAGGTGGTGTTGAAAACAATACATGTGCTACCCCATTTTGCATGTCATTCCCAACGGCCCATCCCAGCTTCTTCCCCCCTGTCTCTCCCTCGTCCCCCCCCCCCGATGTTTGCCATCGGGGTTGGGTTTTCGTCGCTTGGCAACGACGTTGTAAAACAAGCCGCCCCCCCCGGTGTTTGCCATCGAGGTTGGGTTTTCGTCGCTTGGCAGCGATGTTGTAAAACAAGCCAATCACTTCGTGAGCTCGGCAACCAGGTTACTGCTTTTTTTTTTGCCTTCGTTTTTTTTTTTTTGCGGTAACCATGAATGGTGGTCGAGTAGATTATGTTGTGCGGAGTCGAGAACCCTGACTCCGCGCAAAGGGGATAATCGCACGTTGTGTTAATATTGGTCAAGCACCCTCGAGGCAGTTACACACCGCTTACAGCTGTATCTGGAAGTGAAAGCACCAGAAAATAAATTAAGTCATATGCAGCTGTCATCAGTAGGCAAGGAAGTAAGCACAAGATGCCGAACACCCTTAGCAGGATGCAGCTCACCCTTCATGCGACTCGCCAAATACCTCACTTCGCGCTTGGTGATGTGAAAGCCTGGTCCGGTGAGAACCCGGCGTGCTCCGTCCCGGCTTTGTAGGGGTGCGAGGTCAACGGTCTAACGACTACGGCATGCACAACTACGAGTACCCCCCCCCCCCCCTCCCCGCCCTTCTCTTCACGAACCCAAGCAAAACGCACCCCGCGCGCAAGCCCCTCTGGCGAAAAAAACGCAGAACTCGAGCGCCCCCGCCTCGCTTCCTCGGGTTGCCCCGGCGTCGACGTCAGGATCGCAACGAGACGCAGCCTTGTCCTTACCCCTCCACTTCTTCTTCCGGGGGCCGTACCTGAAACGGCAGAGAGCAGTCGGGGGCGCTTGTAGGACCATGGGGCGAGCGGGCATCCCGGCCGCCACCACCCCCACCAAGTTTGGATTCTCTCCATCCCTACAACTACTACCGTACATAAGAAACCTCCTGAAAAAATAACACACCCCCTGGAAATGGTTTTCAAAAATTAAATTTTTCCGTGACCGAAGAGGACGTGAAAAATCC